TCAGGGATATGGAGATGTCCAGGGAACACAGAGAGATCCAGGGAACATGGAGAGATCTCAGGGGCATGGAGAGGGACACGCGTGGCCGACGCTGCCGGGCACGTTCCTCGGGATTCTCCCAGGGATGTGATGCCTCCAAGCCTGTGACTCACCGCCTTCCCCTCCTTCTCCGCAGCCTTTTGCGTGGAAGATGGCGGGTGGCGTGGACGGCCCCATAGGGATCCCGTTCCCGGATCACAGCAGCGACATCCTGAGCAGCCTGAACGAGCAGAGGAACAACGGGCTGCTGTGCGACGTGGTCATCCTGGTGGAAGGCCAGGAGTTCCCCACCCACCGCTCCGTCCTGGCGGCGTGCAGCCAGTACTTCAAGAAGCTCTTCACCTCAGGGTTAGTGGTGGACCAGCAAAACGTGTATGAGATAGACTTTGTGAGTGCGGACGCCCTGTCGGCGCTGCTGGAGTTCGCCTACACCGCGACCCTCACTGTCAGCACTTCGAACGTCAACGACATCCTCAACGCGGCCACTCTGCTGGAGATCCCGGCCGTCAGGGATGTCTGCACGGATCTCCTGGACAGGAAGATTCTGGCCAAAAATGACCAGATGGATACAGTAGATCAAATTGATCAGAGGAACCATCTCAGAGCAAAAGAGTACCTGGAGTTCTTCCAGAGCAACCCCGTCAACGGCCACCAAGGCAGCTTTCCGTGGACCAACCCAGAGTTGAGAGACCTTCAGAGACTGAACTTCCGAGGCCAAGAGGAGGAGGAGGAGTCGAACTGCAACGGCCTGGACTTCTACTCGCAGGCCACCCCAACCGAAAGACCAAAGGCAAGTGACTGTGACCCTGACAGCAACCCGGCCATGTGGCTGGACCGGGAGGAGGAGGAGCCGGTCACCACCGGCATGTTCTCACCTTCCCAGAACGGACATTACAGCAGCCGTGGCTTGGCCACGCCGGGAGAAGAGGAGGGGGGGACCCCCCGGGGGCCTCTGGACCCGCAGGAAGCCGGCGACTCGCCCGGCTTCATCCCCGCCGGGGCGGAGACGGAGGACGACGCGCGGGAGGTGGACGACTTGGCCGCCAGCGCCCTCCTGCAGCAGATGATCAACTCGGTGGGGCGGCAGCAGCTCGGGGACGACGACCGCAAGGACGACGACGGGGTCATGGATTATTACTTGAAATACTTCGGCAGTTCGAACGAGGGCGACGTCTACCCGTCCTGGTCCCAGAAGGAGAAGAAGATCAGGGCCAAAGCATTCCAGAAGTGCCCCATCTGCGAGAAGGTGATCCAGGGCGCCGGGAAGCTGCCGCGCCACATCCGCACCCACACCGGGGAGAAGCCCTACGAGTGCAACATCTGCAACGTCCGATTCACCAGGTAGGGGCTGGGGGAGAAACGGGGGGGTCTCCTACAAACCCGGCTCTGCCCTTGACCTGGGAGCATGGGGGGCTCTCTCACAGATCCGACTCTGCCCTTGGCTTGGGAGCACAGGGAGCTGTCCCACAAATCCGGCTCTTCCCTTGGCTTGGGAGCACGGCGGGCTCTCCCACAAATCCAACTCTGCCCTTGGCTTGGGAGCACAAGGGGCACTCCCACAAATCCAGCTCTTCCCTTGGCTTGGGAGCATGGGGAATTCTCCCACAAATCCAGCTCTTCCCTTGGCTTGGGAGCACAGGGGGCTCTCCCACAAATCCAATTCTGCCCTTGCCCCTGGAGCATGGGGGGCTCTCCCACAAATCCAGCTCTGCCCTTGACTTGACTCTCCCACAAATCCACCTCTGCCCTTGGCCTGGAAGCACAGGGGGCTCTCCCACAAATCCGGCTCTTCCCTTGGCTTGGGAGCACAGGGGGCTCTCCCACAAATCCAGCTCTGCCCTTGACTTGGCTCTCCCACAAAACAGGCTTTGCCCTTGCCCCTGGAGCACGGGGGGCTCTCCCACAAAACCAGCTCAGCCCTTTTCCCTCTCAGGTGATTTTATCTCTCCTGTTC